TTCATTTTCAATCCAACTCGGCCTCGGAACGTGCTGTCCGACTCGGAACTGGAGAGTCTCCTTCTCGAAGAGTTCAATGCGCCGCGAGACGTGAACGACCTGGAGAAGATTTGGCTGGACAACCAACGAATGTTCGGGTTTTGTTCATGATGATTTCAAACCGAGGACCTTTGGACAGTTAGCCGACGATGCCAAAGCCCACGCGTACCACACCCTGACAATGGAGAGATGGAAGCGCGAGAGGCGCGGCCCAGATCTCACCTTGAGCCTCAGTTTCTCGCGACAGGTAAATTGGCTGAAGGGGCTTAGCGCCTCGATGCGCAGACCAGATCGAGAGTTGGCGCCGCGGCAGAAGCTAGCTCATCTGGCATGTAGAACGCCCAAGCTTTGCGAGCGACGTATTGCCGAACAAAGACCTCCTCAGGGAAAAAGCACAAACGGAACGCAAACTAGAGCAGTTCAAAGCGGAAACGCAAGTAATTCATCAAGTGGAAGACGACTCAGGTAAGTTCTTACCCCTGCCAGAGCTCTTCTCCCATGGTTGCTCACCCTTGTACAGATGTCCGAACGGTTGATCCCGATATGAGAGTGGCCTTATCTATATCCCAGGTAGCCGACTTAGAGCGAGTGAGTCCCCGCTTATCGGAAGTTGCATTTGAACTTGATAGATGCTCGTGGAATATTTTGTTTGGGGCGGATGGGAAGATAGTGCTGCGCAAAGTGAAGAAAGGGTCCAATTGAGGCGTCCATAGCGGGTAATCCAGGATGAGATGCTGCTGGGAGGGAAACCTTCATCTTCGGACACATATGGTTTAGCAATGCATTGTCCTCAAAACAGGCCGCCCAGAGATTCTTCTGCTTGCCGCACGAGGTAATGCTGGCTGGATGAGGGACGCGTCGCGAGGATTCAGTTTCCAATCTTGTGACGCGTCGTGACCGCGAGATTTGCAGCCGCTTTGCCTGCCGGATGGGGATATGAATCGCTTGCAGTCAGCCAGCCCTCCGCAACGGTGGCCTCACGCAGGTTCGTGGACTGGCACACTCGGACGCGTGCAGTAGCAACGTGTGAGGAGCCTGCGTCGTCAGAATGGCGTTTGAGCGTCTGAAGAGTGCAGGCAGGGCATACTCTAGACGACGCCCACTTGGCGGCACCTCGGTCGTAAGGCGGCTGAAGTAGCGTGATATTTGGACGAGGGGACGGCAAGCACTTGCTGGCCTGCGCGTCTTACGCCATCCCAAGGCTCATTGTCGTTTGGGCAGCGGGGTTCACAACAATACACCCGGCGGGCCGGCGGGACATTTCCAACCCCAGTACGACCATCCCCTCTTGCATCGAAAAGGCGTCTGCGGCAGCCACTCGACAGCCGGCGAACCGAGGGTCTAGCAGAGCGGTCACCAAGCGCTGTGTCTTGCAGAGCAGCAACGAGACGGAGCTGCCAACGTTTACGAGTCACGCGCTCACCACCTCCGCAAATGAAGTCGACTGGTACAAGCGCCGAAGCTCTCTGCAATGTCCCCGGCAAAGAGGATCCCGCTACGCTGCATGCGGACCTGCCTCCCTGGTCTGGATGGAAGTTCAGGAGGGGACCGGTGGAGACTCAGAGCTAGGATGAACCCTGCCCGCCAGAGACCGGCTCATAAAGGCTCGGTTTGTGCTGTGTACGGCGTCCCATAAGCAGAGGCAGTCGCATCGCGAGCGTCGTGACAATATTTTGCCACTTCACGGGTATGTCACAGTAAGATACGTCAGCCGACCGAAGGTTAATTCGTACCTAGCGTTACTAACATGGTATGGTTCAGGTCCATCTAGAAATCTTTTCATAGTGATTCGCGTGTCATTGTTCCTGACGTGTTTCCCTCCTGCTCAAGCTCTCGTAACTGATCTTCCGCAGCAAGAGTGGCACCATCTATTTCATCGTCGACGAAAAGGGAAGTTATGATACTGCAGTCGCCAGGACTGTCTTTCGCATTTTAATGACCGCAAGCTCGCCGCCATTCAGTCTTTGTCCGAAATACCACTTGCCCATTAGCATCCTTTGTAGTGTATGTGACTTGAATAGCAATCTCGCTATCTCTATCTCGCGTCGAAGGATATTCATGGGTTGGACATCAATCGAAGCATTGAAGGGCGAAGAAATTTTTGCTGCAGACCTTGCTTTTGCAGCCGCTGTTGGGACTACGGTCAAGCTTTGTCAGCGGCTGCAAACGGCAGCGTGGTGTTCTCTGACGTACCATGCATAGTTTTCACCGACCGCTTTTATCGTCCAGTGTTTGCTTCAGATCCCCTCGCTCCTCCTCCATTTGCTGGATCAATCGGTATTTACCATAGCCTATGGCAATGACGGGACAGCGATTGAGATTGAAAGGTGATGGACAGAAGAGTAAGAAATACTCAGCCGTAGGCAGCTGACGGGTTCCATCAAAGTCCAAAGATTTGATAGGTAAGAACGAAACCTCAGCGTCGCGCACCGGGCGACCCTGCTGACGATATGGCTAACTAGCTGCCCGGCACCGGCCCAAGCTAAGCGCCGTCAACGCTCACCGAAGCCGAAGACTGTAATTCTCCAAGACCAGTACAAACGGAACAGAAGAGAACAAGTTCAATCAGCAGTTCATACCAATCCCTTGGGATGTTCACCGGGATTAGTCGGAACAGGCTAAGGCGCACTGGTCTTACTATACAGTCTAATAAGTACAATAACTCCAAAGTGCGTTAGATCTACTCACACGGTGTCTCCCAGGCTGTCGCCGACGCACATGCCAGAGAGGCTTATCCACGACAACGTGAGGGCGTGCTATAAGTGGCTCTCAAACAGGCTGCCGATAACTTCTATCCTCAAGCGGTCAGCTACAATCTGCTCCTTGGGTCGGACAGCTATCACCACCTCCAGACTCATCAGTGGGTACTTTGGCTTGACACAGAGAAGCTCCGCTTCATCGCAGGGGAGTCCCACTTTACAAGAGATTATAGGGAGAGGCTTACGAGGGAAACCCATGATCTGGAAGCTGTGATGAAGATTCTGCGTTAGCTCGGAATCTAGAAGTCGAACCGCATCAACATCGTTTACATGGCGTACTCGACAGAGCGATGTTGTTGAAGTAGAGGATTGGCACCCCCCGCAAGGAGGCGCCAACCGAGCTGCCGTCTCAATGTGCTCCAATGGTGAGATGCGGCGCGTGGGCGGCGTTGGAATTCGGCGTGAAATGGCTCCAGCAATATCAGTGCCAGTATTCGCGGGCGGCTAGCGCCTGTTAGTGTCTTAGACGCCGAGCGCTATAACCTCAAGTGAGGGGCAAGGGGGGCGTTTTCTTCCTTAGTAGTGTGTTCCTCTGCCTAGGTGATACGTTGCGAAGACATTTCAACGGCCGCATATGAAAGAGCGCTAGGGGTGGTTAAAGATACGGCTTCTCCTCTCTATCCTGTGAGCTGGCAACTATGACGGGTGCCGGGTGAGAGGATGCCCGCAGCCGGACCATTGCGCTCGTAAAGCACAGGGCAGGCGTCGAATGGCGGCACTTGGCGCCGCTACTTGCGACACCCTCAACTTGCCCCCAGAAGACTTCTCCAGGATGGCCACTATCCCCACCGGTTGCGCCGGAAAGGACACCACATTCTGGCAGAGCGCAACCTCGCAACAGGAGTACCTGTGCGCGAGCTGCCACGCTGCTCGGCTGACAGTGCCCTCCCCTCACTAAGACTGCCCGCTTACCAACAGCCGCCTACGTGGCCGCTCTTGGAACGGGGTTGGAAAAGCTAGCAAAGAGGAATCCAGAGCGATTTGCGTTCGCCGTTGAGAAAGACTGCACAGGAATACTCACTTTGGCCAGTTGACAGCGGCAACCACGCAGAGAGCATCACTTCGGCGGTCGGGACGACGCGAGGATTTTGGACTCTGCTCAGATTAGCCTCGCAGAGGAGACAGATCGCGTTGATGACAGCCTTGACATAAAACTAACGGGATACTAAGCTTTTGATGCTGCTGCGAGCAGTTTTATTCCGCAAGCTGCTAGTGAACGCTGAGTTGTGAACCAGCGCGTCCGTCCAGCTACAATCTCTCCTAGGCAGCTCACCCCCTCGCCCGTTCTGGCTTATACACCAGAGCGGTGCGCCGCAGCCCCTCGAATCCCACAGGGTACTATGTGTAACGGCGGCGGGCGACGCGCGCTATAGGACACAAACGTTTCGAACAGCATGCGGCTGGAGTAGTTCACAAGTAGATGCGCCAGCTATCGCCACAGCAAGCCAGATGCAAGGTAACTTTTCTAACCGCCCTATTCATCTAGTTACACGCTAGAGAAGCTTATTACAGTGGCGTTCTTCACGGTCAGCTAAGCAGGTTGATTTCTTAGATTTCTCAGACGGGTTGAATTCTCAGATAGGTTAAGTTCTTAGATAGGTTGAATTCTTAGATAGGTTGAGTTTTTAGACAGGTTGAATTCTTAGATAGGTCGAATTCTTAGATAGGTTGAATTCTCAGATAGGTTGAATTCTTAGGTAGGTTGAATTCTGATATAACGACATCTGCAGCAACGTTCGACGAAGGCTAAATGTCACGACAGGACACCAGCTAGTCCCTTGCAGACGGCTGGGCTAGAGATACGAGCGAGTGCGAGTAATAGCGGCTAGAAGCGGACGTCCAGTCAGTATGCCTCAGCCTTGCTACCTAATAAGTAGTTACGCTCAATTTCACTAATCAGGCCTGCATCACCAGCTAGGCCCCCGCCCAATTAGTTTCGTCAGCGCGTTATTCTGCGAGATTATAGAAGACATATCTACGAGGCCAGCTCCCCAGCGGGGCTTCTAGCGAGTTTAGCACTTCGCGTCGAGGGTCATAGGTAGTTACTTAGTGTAGGCCTACTCCATCAAGACATATCTATCAAAAAACATTCTGATTAACAAGCACAGCAGTGGTACTTTCTTGATTGATCTAGACCTTGCTGTGAGGCTTCACCGGGAAACAGCATCGGGTGTCCAAGGAAAGACAGCAACGAGAGCATTCATGGCCATCGGGGCATTGCTGAACGAGCCGCATACATTCATGTAAGACCTAAAGTCGTTTTTGGGCACTGTTCTGGATATACGTTCACTATGGTCTGAACGGGAAAGACCTTAGGACGACTGCATACGAGAACTGGAACTACGAGCAAGACAATAAGCTAGATAAATCCAAAAAGGGCGTCATCAGTAACGAGGCAGACTTTATAGATAAGGCCCAGCAGCATTTCACAACATACTACCAGCCACTAATCGCACTTATCAACTGGTTACGGAGGGTTATGTTCCCCACTGTTATGAGACGCAGACAGCCGGATCTTGGCCTGCATCTTTCGATGGTGCAAGTGCTACGTTCCACAGAGGACGTTCCGGAGATCTGAAGATCCAAATGAGGTTACAATCCCAAGTAACGTCACTGAGATGGTTTCCGCTTAGGTCGTGTGAATTCCTTTTTCTTTTCCTTTTCTTTTTCTTTTTTTTTTTCTTTCTGGAAGAGCGCAGTACATATGGCAGGCCGGTTTGCTTTTGGCATTATATGTAGAGCATTTTTGGAATCGTCATTGGCAGAAATATCTTCATGTGAGAATGCGTATGGGCCTTGCAGGTCTATAGTTTAAAGTGTATCTTTCTTCCCTTCTAAGTGTTCTTCTTCACAGTTTACCGCCTGGAGGCGCACCTTGTTGACAGCCGTATGACTCTCACGGGGAAATATTCGAGGGCCAGGATGGCCTGGGCTTCACAGACCCCCCAGAACTCTCCTCTACTGCCAGCCGCCCCATTGCGCCTTCCAGCGACTCCGCGCTGCTAATCTCGCCCGCTTTCTCGTAGTATGCGTCCACCTCGAAACGCACCACGTATGCGATATTACCTAGCTGGTGTCGAAGAGCCTGGTGATGTGCCATACTGTCTTCAAGACCAGGTGGGTACGCCGTGAACCTGCGTTCGAAGTTGCTGCCCCACCTGGAGTTCTTGGATCTATTGATCAGCTTGCGGGCGGTCCTTTCGCAACGCTCGATGACTAAAGTTTGGTGAACCAGGTGTATGTTGATGCGAAAGCTGTCCTGACAGCGTCCCGCAGAGAGATCGAAGAGCTTTCTGAGGCTGTTCCGACTCACCAAGATGTCAACATCATCAAAGCGGAACGATGGGTTTATTGATGCCGTGGCGCGAAACAGCGCCGCGAAAGGCAACCCAGGAACGCGCGCCGCATTATGGTCCACGAAAAAGGTGCCTTAATCTTTCGGGATGGCAATCGGCAGGTTGACGTTCTAGAAGACCGGCACGAAACCTACGGAACGTTACTCATGCGTGATGCCTTCCCCAGGCCCTTCAATCTTACTAGGTATGTGGATCCGGCATGAGAGAAGGATGGCCAATGCGACATGACACCTTACGATTCGCATTCTTCCTCAACCAGGCCTCGCGATGGTGCCTGCTGAACCGACGAGATCAAGCGCTTTTCTGGCGCTGTTGCCCGCTGGAGTCTCGTTTCATCGCGTGTAGCATGCTCTGCGTAGATCCTCGGACAGGGTAACGTGGTGCTATCTTGAGCTGAAAGAGCCGACGGCAAGAGCAGAACATCGACGAGCGTGAGATGATAATTAATGGCTTGCTACTGTACTGTCAATCTCCAGTGCCCGGAATGGCCAGTCTGTTTGTCGCGAATGATTATCTATGCCACGCATGGAAGGCCTTCGTTGAGGACCTCGGTAACGACACCGATGTAGGTATATGCGTCCGGGTACCGCCGAGGGAGGGGTCGATGTTGGCGTCCCAGAGCTTGGAAATGATGCCGAAGAGTGCGGGGAGCACGAAGGCGACAAGATTGAAAGGGAGTGCGCCGGCATAAGTACTCAGGCGATGATTTGGGGCAGCGTCGCCATCCTGTGGGCAAGACACGGGGCGCACAAACTCTTCAGGGTCATCCTTGGGAAGCATCATGTAGTTGGATACAGGGTGTGCAATGGCGGAAAGAAACGAGTTTGGAAGTCGATGGTCTGCTGGCTGCGTCCTTTGTGGTGTTGATGAGGTTGCGCTGTAGGGTTGGCTAAGTTGATGGGAGAGTGCTATAAGCTTGGGTGATCTGGCTTCGTGCTTCTGTCTACGTCGGCAACCTAAGGAGCTGCTGTCACTGCCTTTCGGACTTGTTGCGGCTGGGCAAGTGATGAGTTCGTCTGGGATCCAACGGTGGAGGTTGTTGTTGGGAGTCTAGCAAGCCGTCGACCTGCTGCTTGGTACTTTATCAGGCGACGCTAGTGGTGAGGCTAACTGGGCTAGCAGTTGCAGGGGAGTCCGCGTGAGGCTGAGTGATGTTTGAACCACTCAGCAGGAAAAGCAGACGTCGTCGCCAATCGACTTACATACTAGGGGACGATGTTGTATCCGCTGGTGTCTGTGCCTAAGCTGGCAGACAACTTCCATCGTGACCGGCGAGCCATCCGTGCTGTTAACGCGGTGTTGTGCTAGGCCGGCAGGCTTGACATGACTATCCTTCCCTTGGGTACCTTCGACTTGCATGTGAAGCAGCCACTCTAACCGACATGTCGCTGGTATAGCATATCCTCTAGCTAAGATAACTGTCATTGGGTTTCCTATTGCCTGTCCTTGGTCTGTATGGGAGCTGCCGTCGCCTAAACCTGCAGTCTTGAGAGGGTATCTGCGAATGGCTGGACAAACGCAGTCACCCTTACCGACCCCGCGCGACCTGACTATGTCTGTTGGCGTTGGTCCATGAGGGACGCGGGGGATCCGTTGAGATATTTTGGCGTCTGGAAGAACGCGCCTGAAGGCGGCTGCACACGATCATGCCGAAGCTAGAACCAGCCAGCAGTAAACACCAAGGCGCTATCATGATGGGTGCATGTTAAAGAAACATATCTATGGAGCAAGTCAAGGCAATTTCACAAAACGCCTCAAACAAACATTGCTTCCAAGCAATAGTCCAGTGCTCGTGCACAACGGTCATTGCCAGCCATGAAAATTCCGTCCAACTTTTGGAACCTGAGGTTCAAGGCTGAATTTCATCAAACCATTGCATCCCTGCGACAGCTGACTGAGATCTCATCCGAGCCACGAGATTGCCGTGGGAGAGCGACGCTAGTTTCTCGCGGTTACACCCCTCCCATTCCATTAAGGACGAGACTTGGACAGCCGACTCTGTTGCGTTCCTTGCTCATCCCCAAGGGGGGGGGGGGGGGGGGGGGGGGGGAGGTTNGCGGGGGGGGGGGGGGGGGGGGGGATAGGGGGGCAAGTTCGTCTCCACGGTGACCATACGCGAATATCCTAAGTCACGATGGAATTGAGGGGCAATTTCCCAGTCTTGCCTGCGAGTTCTAAGTCTTGTGCGCTGAGGTCGAACGCTTGAGGGATTTAGTACCACCCGTATTCTTGGCCGATTTCGCCCACCATGGGTTGGACAGCCTCGCTAATTCAAAACATCGCAGCCTTTATTGCAAGACAGATTGCAGAAATGTATTGTTGAGATTGGGGAACTCCCACACTCCTCTGAGAAAATCGCACAACTCTTTGCCAGGCTCGAGGTTTTGGTAGATACCCTCAACCTTATCGAGCGTCACTAGCGTCTGGGCTGCTTTCAATCTGGTCGCGGCTGTATGTTTGTCTTGGCGGGAGCAATATCTTGAAAGTACTTGATATTCCCACAGACTCGATCTTTCTGTCTGTAGCTCCCGAGGCTCAAGTAAGGTGGTATTTGGTATCCCCCTCAGTACTATGAGGGTTGGGTTTGTTTGGGAGATACCCTCGCGTTGGCCACGCTTCGAAGGTAAATGGGTGCAGTACCTCATTCTCGCCGTGGCCGCCTACGCAGCGAAGATCCCAGTTGAGCAGTCTCGTAGCGCAAGCGTCCTGCTCCCTAGATCGTCGCCAGCCTTTTGTATCATCCCAGCCACAAGACAAGACTACCACTTTGTTCGGCACCACAGCGCGGGCGACTGGGTCATCTTCGCGAAGCAGTCTCTGGCTGATGCTGACGAAAATCTCTTAGGGCTCTGGAGTCTAGCATATGCGTCATGTCTGGACTACAGGCCACTTGTGGGCTGATACGGACCACCCGCGGGGGCAGAGCTTGAAGAGCGGTTGGCATGGCGCGGGCGACATGCCATAGCCGAGGACTCAGGTCGGGTACTTTCGTGCGCATGAAGGCTTCCGCCGTTCATGTGGCTGGTACAGGGCCTGTCGCAGCTGCCAGGTAGTGTGGAGCTATACCTTCAGACGCTCTCTGCCCACAACTGCTGCATATTAATTGTGTTATCCATCGCACGTCGTTAGTATAGCCAAGTTGAAATACGATAGGTACGTTTCTCTCTCGACGCCTATAACCTTCTCTAACTTTATTTACAATTCTGGCTTCCGACTGTTTTAAGTTTCTCATGGGCGCTAAGCATCGAACCTTCCATCTTCATGGCATGTTGGTCGCTTGGCAATCCAAGGTACTCCATAAGCTCTTGTACGCCAGTATGAAGGAGGCCTAGGAACGCTGCATAGAGTGTTTGGATGTTGCTTGCGCTGTACATGAGTCGCAACACTCCAGACCCGGTCGTCAGCGATACCTATCTGCGGAACCAGCTGCTGAGATCACCCGGAGTTCCAGTTTCACGAGGAGCAAAAAGGTTGCGACGTCGAATTCTAAGCCATCAGCTTATCTACGTCCTGTAACCAGATCGCTCTGGATTCAGCCAGCTTTATGCGGACTTTAGTCCGGCTAACGTATGCGAGAACAGGCCAAGCGACAGTTACACTAACGTACTTTTCGGTCACGCTAAGGTCTATGTGTTCGTGGACTGCTATGGGATCGCCCCCCTCTAGGCTCTGTCGCTTAGAAAGCTGCAAAAAACCTCAGAGAGTTTTGCTTTTTACCAGACAGGTGTCTAGGATGTTATTGGGCTGATTCGATATTCTTATCAGAACACCGCGGACGAAATGAATGAGGAAGACGAGCTGAGGACACTTGTGAACATGTATACGGCCTGTAAGGTAGAGACGCTGTGGGAAGACGGGGATTTTGCTGGCTTGGTCGAAACGAACGGCGAGTACCTTATGCGAAAGACTTGGCCAAGTTCATGGTGCGATGCCTGAGTTGAAGATGTGTTTCGAGAGTCCTGTCATAGTTACTCAGCCATTATATCATCGAATTCGCAAGATCTGATGAAGGATGAATCGGAGACCCAGTTCGACATCGGCTGCAATCAAGGTCAAGCTACTAAGGCGGAGGAGAATGAAGACCAGCCAACGGCGGCCGAATTCTCACACGATCATTAAGCTAACATGCCGCTACCTCAGGACTACCTAGGACCACCTGGTTCATGTGCCGCGCCATCAGGCCAAAGCTTTGCCCCCTGTGCAGGTATCTGCAGCTCAAGCAGACCAGATGCGGCACATCGATCGCAGGCGAAAGAATGACTTCGCCATTTCCAGATCTAGGCTGCCGAGAGAACCCCAGGCGCATTGACGTCCCACGCGCGGTTCGCCTGGTCCCGATGGGTTAAGCTCTAACTGCATGCACGTTGCCTCACCGTCTGGTAAGGTCGGAGAGCAATGCGCAAACCGAGCCATTTGTGCAGATAGGGGTTCCCATTGAGTGACAAACCGTCGTGAATCTACATGTTATCGTCAGGCAAGCTCTCGCACTCACGGGCTAAACTCGTGCACCTTGGATATGATGGGCATTTTAGTTGCCCCCAAGTGCTGACTGAGGCATACAGAACAGCTGGCTACCCCTCAGCTATTGTCGACCTCTGGGGGTAGACGATAGAATTCCAACGTACACATGCGTTATCACATGCGTTGCGACCAAAATGGGCTTGCAAGATTTCGTGTTTCGGTCTTATTACGTCTGCGCTTTCCCCCACCTGCAACCGAAGTGATACCCATCACAGCCAAGACCGTATTTCGCAGAGAGGATTCGGTATACAACATGCACATCAATAGAAAGGTACCTGCCTTGGACGATCTTGCGATACGTTCTTCTAAATGCATGAATGAAGCTTTGGACTTCTTGGAGATGCTGATTGTTAAAGATAGAGCCTAAGGCTATGATAATGCTCTTCAGACGGCATGTGCTGAAGGGGTCTACTTTATTGCTCGGAGCCTCATCCTTCTGGGCAGCGCAGATGTTAACGATCGAGGTAGATATTACAGCAACGCCTTACAGTTTGCATGTGCCGAAGGTCATAGAAGCATCGCCTAAATGTTGCTGGACAACGGTGCCAAAGTCTATGCCGCTGGCGGACACTACAACACTGTACTCTAAGTTGTATGCGCTGAAGGATATTTAATCTTGGCACGCAAACTCCTTGACTAGGGAGTTGAATCGACGCAACTAGCGGGCATTCTAGAAGCGCCCTCTGAGCTGCTTCTTTCACTGGATGGCGGGAAATCGTATAACTTCTGCTGGACAGGTATGCCAATCCGAATGCGTAAGGTCGTTCCTACAGCAGTCCCCTCGCAGCTGCATCATGTGGAGGAAATGTAGAAATTATCTGAATGCTGTTGAAGGCGGGAGCCGAAATCAACGCGAAACGCAATTTCCACAGTGCCCTTCAGATTGCGTGTTGGAGAGGTTATGGAGATATTTCGAAAATCCTTATGGGTAAAGGGGCAGACATCAATACTCACCATTAATATTATGACGACGCCCTTTAAACAGCATATTATTAAAGTTACACTAAAGTGGTACTAATGCTACTCGATGAGGGAGCTAACATACGCGCAGCGGCTGGATGGTTTAGCGACGCCGTGCATGCGGCAATGGCCGGCTTGAACGCCGAGACCCAACAAGTCTTTCTCACCCATGCTATAGGTAAACATAACTCAGGCTGCTAAGCCCAGGAACATCAAGCACTCCAACCTCCGGACTGCTCATGTTCTCTCCATGATGGCCGTAAGCCGAGACTATTGCTCTCCAGCACATCACCCTGCCCCGGCGTCCTCGAGATCGTGCCTTCCGGCACTCCGCGTTCTATGTGTCCCCAGTTCCTGATGGTGCTCTGGCTTCACTCTTACCCATCCCACACGTGCTAATAGGCTATCTGAAAGGTAGTTGGAATATACGTCGACATAATGACGTGCCAAAATCGCCAGCAGATCAAGTTTCAGCGGCTTTGAACAGCTCAGTAGAGTACCCCAGCATAGCCCACGTGGCATGAGAGGTCCCACGGGAAAGATGACAATGATACATACCTATACCAACTATGAACAGCAACATTTGAGTCTTCACGCCAGCACACGGCCTCATCGCAAGCTGAACGATATCGAGTGAACCGGGGCGCATCGGGAGAGTCTATCATGGCCTCTCCGTGATCAATCATACGCCCCGCCTCCCAGGACATTGCAGCTGGAATATCCAAAAGCTGTGTCGTTCCGTTATGGATCGTTTGCGTTCTTTTACCTCGTGGTATGGCTTGACTAGGTTCTGGTGACTTGCAGCCCAAGTTTCCAAGCTGTCTGCTTACGAAAGGAAAACAGGAAGGGATAAAGCAAAACGAAAACAATAGTTTATTCCCGGCCAAGCCTGTCGAGGACCATCCTCTGTACGATGGCATACACATACCTCTGGCGTATGTCCGGTCAGAAGCCCATCAGCTGTTTCCCAAGAAGGAGTCACCAGACAACATCCTCTCAGTTGGGTGTGAGACTGCGACTGCTGCGCCCAACGCGAGACCCAGACGTCTCTCAAATCTCATCCATCATCAGCTGACAAGCGCATGGGCATCAGAAGTACGGCAAGCTCCGCACGATAGATGAAGACTTCAAGGTTGTGCGAGTCGACATGGTTCTCGCGATGGAGGAAAGCGCGTTGAATGATTCCAGCGCCATCACACGGCTCACGTCGCAGCTGAGGCGACAGCTTAAGATTGATGCGGAGCTGACGATGAAGCAGACGTCTTAGGCCATGATATCGGCTCTGTTCTATCTCCAGCTCCAGGAACCACCGCATGTCGTTGGGCAGCACGGAGAGCTCAATTGCGAGGTAACTGTGGCGTGTAGAGATGAAGACGACGCGGCAATTATGAAGAAACTCGCAACTGAATATCCAGGCCTCGCGGCATGGTTGACGGCAAGGACACAGACTGTTTCCTCAAGGGCGAGCAAAACTCATCCTCCAGGTTTCTTCATGGAACCGGCGTATCGATATGCGGATCAAGCACACTGAGACATCCGCCTCCATCACGGGGTTTCCCGCATCAATGAAGGGGATATATTCCTTGCAGCAGCACCTGCCTCTGGAGATGTACGTGGCACAGGCGCCGGTAAGCGAGCGTTTGAGAAGGGAAAATGTCAACGGCCAGCACAAAGCTTGATGACGCTGCGCAGAAGAAGGTGCGTGGCTCCTTGACATAGAGATTTTACAGTAAAACTATCTAGAGGCTCTTGGAGGTGGTTACTGAGAAGTCGCATACCTGTTTATTTTACGGAACACGACATCGTCTAGTGTTTGTGATATATTAATGTCTTCTAGAGCCTGATAATGTAGAAGGTGGCGTGGAATATGCTTTAAGCAGACAAATAAAGGGGAGAAGATTAAATAGAGAAGAAAAAAAGACAAAAAAAGGATGTATTCTTGAATAGAATTTGCCCGTCCTCATTCCTCCATATGTAATATTCTATCTGATTTCTGGTTCCCGCCTCCGCAACATTCCGAGAAAATGTTAACAAGAAAGAACGCGCGCCAATTTGCCTACCTTAGCGGAGATTATTGCACGAGATGACGAGCAATCAGTCACCAGCTTGAAGTATAGAATGTAAGTCGTCATGGCCGCTCGTTTGAGCCACGCAAATGTCTATCAATCTATCGTGAAGCCCACGTCATTTCAAGACAGATCGTCAAGCTCATCAAAAAGCTAGCTTAAACTTCTTTATATCTCAAAACAACTCTAAATCAGCCGCCCTACTCGCTGCACTTGCGCTTGCTTCGGCTGAACGACAACGACGAGCAAGAGTGTCTCAGAGGCCCGGCCATGACAACGGCAAGCGTCGCGTACTTTGAAACGTCCAAACTCGCAGAAGGCTGTCCGGAGGCACACGTATACTTTCTAGACGCCCCAAGCGAGGTTGTCCGCTCCGAGCACGTCAACATCACCAACTCAACTGCCGCGTGTGATACCAACCTGCCGCAGGCGATCTAACTGCCGGCCGACCTCACCTCAAACTACGCAAAAGGAATATTCTTGTGCGGCGGCGATGACGAGGCCCAATGCCAGATGCTCAGACTCTTGCCGCCGACAGTTGCGGACTCTACCGGTCAGTGTTCCCTGGCAATGTTCCGGACCTGCATGAATCCAGCCAGTTCGGCGACCACCAGGGCGACCAACCCGAGGACCAATCCGTCTCCTTCCGTATTCCCATCATCGCCGGCCGGCCGGTTCGGCAAGCGGGGTTGCGGATGCACTGACCTCCAGCCACCTGCTTGGCGGCGCGCCGACAGACACCTCGCAGCGGTCAGCGGAAACTGGTAAAGACCCCGGTGGTCCTCTCCCCACCACTGCACCCGCAGACCAAATAGTCCTCCGCCTGCGTCGGGTACTGGGGAATCTTTCGTCGCTACTCCAGACAGCACTACTGCATGGCTCTCATCCGTGTCATCGTCTCTCGCACTGCCTGAGAGCCCATCCGGAGCTTCATCCGGATCGGCCAACAATTATCTAACAGGCGTGTCGTCTGGTCTTCCAGCAGGAGGCACTGACGCGATACGCGCCACAATCGGTGCTTCGCCTGTCGAGCCATCGGATGGCGTTCAGAGTCCGACTGACATGACGATGTTCATCACACCCACCACTGAGGGGGTAGGTGACGCGCCCCGGTGCACGTGTTAAGGGTGATCTGCTTTTGCTAGAAAACGTACTGTATTTTATGCAAGCCCAGATAGAACTCAACTTTGTTGTTATCGTTTTCGCGTCCATTTACAAAGGGGGGGTCCCACGACGTGTTTGAAAGCAAAACCAGGTATACAGAAAGGGAGAAAATTTCCACAAGATAGATGGTCCAATGCCTTGATTAATGCACCTTCTCTGCTTATTTTCGTAGTAACTATCGGTGTTAGCAAACGGATGAGAGGTCACACGTGATGGAAGCTGCACCTGGATTAGTGTCTGCCGGGGTTCACATCAGTGGCTCATTCAGTGGGTATTGCGAGACGGAAGTCGGCCGGGCCCGGGCCCGAGGAATTCCGCCTTTATGTAAGGGGTCGGCCACACTACTGTGTAGCCAGGCGCGCCCAGCGCTCGTAGCTAGATTGATCAAGCCACTTCACGCAGGTATGGATGGGTGAGAGCTGTGCTTGCCTAAAATGCTTGTTGGCTGCAGTCCCCACTGCAGGTCGGGGTTTTCTCCGACCTGCATTACATAAGACAGCTAATGTGGCGGCACCTGCCCACAGGTGCCACAGGTGGCCTGTGCGGCCAGGGCCCTCCAGGCCCTTCTTCCACCCTCTGGGCTTACGAGGATATTGCCGAAAACCTTTTGTTCCCATGAACTTGCACAATGTGCCGCAACCCAGTAGGCTGTCGGTGTATGCTTTCTGTGTTTCCGTGTACGTTGTGTACGGCGGGGGAGGGTTCGTGTGTTCTTGAGCGCCCCTGCCAGCCAGCAGCGGAAGAGACACGCAGATGGCCATGCAAGCTAACGCAACGCACTACACAACACAGAGAAGAGCGACCATTACGATGCGGAGAATACATAGCAGGAGCAGACCTCGCGGGAGGAAAATCGATAGGGAAACGGCCGTACATGTGCCGACCAGGACGAACCACAAGAGCCAGTATGGGGCGATGCGCGCCCAGATCCGAGCTGTCCATCTCCAACGCAACGTTCTCCGGCAGGCCGGGCACGACCAGCCGGGCCGCCTGCCACAGATTCTCCAATGCTGTGATCTGGAGCGTATGCGACATGTTCAGCTCCCCCTGTGGCACAAGCTCGACCGTGTCGTTGAGATATCCAAGCTGCCAGACGCCTCTTGTTTGGAGACAGACATACACGGGAACGGCATCGCGCCACCCGTTTAGGCTATCCATGAGCCCTACAGTGCCCGTGCTGATGGCCTTGCCTGTGGCCACATGCGCGCCAGCTTTGGTGGCGATGGATTTCAGGGGATCAGAAATCTCGACGGGAATGGTCAGCCATTGCTGGCTTTGGTCCTTCAAGGCGATTCGCGCTCTCTTCACATACCCCCATAGGTGGCCATAGAGGTTTCTCTGTGAGCCATCCTGGCCCTCGAATATTTCCCCGTCAGCCATACAGCAGTCAACAAGGTGCGCCTCCAGGCGGCAAACTGCGAAGAAAAAGTCAGAAGGGAAGAAAGATTTACCAGCTTTGCCGTTATTACCTGCTGACATGTTAGACAGGCCGGAACGTGGCCCACGAGAGTTGGTTGGCAAGGGTCGTCACATTCAATAAGAAGCAATGCTGGGCGGTATCCCAGCCAGACGTGACGTAGAAGAGGAACAGAAGTAGGAAGCACAACCACACAGCAACGTTAAAGCCGTTCAGCCTCCGCATGTCCACAGCATTTCACATCGGTCTCCATATCTTTATAGACTTCGGGACGAAGTCGTCTGCACGCTTGTGACTCAATTTACTGTGGATCGCTGAATGCGTCAGGCGTCTGGGTTTCTTTTACCTTGTAGGGTGCGCTCAGCAATTTAAACGTACGCACGGAGTGGGCTACCGCACATGTGCGCCAAGACAGTCTTTCAAGTACCTCAAGATTTTCTTGCAGGTGACCATATTAGGCCCCTGCATGTCCGCTATCATCTGCTTGCACACCAGGCATTTCGCTAGCTAGGTATGGTTCTGAGATCGCTATCGGACTCACAATATTCTCAGATGAGGCTCTGACAACAGCAAAGCGTAAGAGCAAACATCGCAAAATGAGAGCATTAGTAGCGAGCAGCGTGGATCGACTGGGGCCTAAATCGGGTGCAACGCGTTCATAGTGGCAAAGCAACGTAAGAAGAGAAAGAGGTGAGGGGAAGGAAGAAGTCGGGATCAAATTGGTCATAAGGCATCGAAACGGGTAGCTCGGTTCGCTGGGTTTTCATGATGGACGCTGAAGGCGATGGCTGTTAGTATCTCATAACACGTATATGACACAACAGCAAACCTCACGTCGCTTCTGGTTGCCAAAGGCATATAGGCATGACCCTTGGCAATAGACTGCGCTCGCCTTTGCTGCCTCATCCGTCTCATCATTGCCTGTGGTAACTATATGATTTGGTCAACTCGGTCAGTTCAGCCAATCTAGTCAGCCTAATTGAGTTGACGTCGACTTGAATACATACCTAACTACATGTTTTCCAAAGCTGAAAGCACAGATCAAAGGGCAGAAAGGTAGTCATGAGAACGATGATGACATAATGTAGCATTGTGACCATGAATGAAGGTGTCCTGAGACCCCCTCAACAGGGCTGCAGAGCTAAATTTCATGTTGTACGATATTTTGCCCTGCGTCCCTTCGAATATAGCTCTTGTTGGTCGGCAGAAAATGTCTGAGCCTCGACATTTAGCATCATTCGAGCAAAGCCATTTCTGTGTCCCACAAATGGAGACGAGAGCTTAAGTGCCTCTGACTGCATTGAAGCCACTTGTGTTGGTATATACAGGGCACCGCGTGGAATACGATTACGAGAGACTCACAAAACCCGACTTGGACGACGAGTCCTGCCTGGTTCGACACCTTTGCAGCAAAGGACTCGCTGTATGCCGATTGACGCCGCGATCCACATTGCTTCCGTACTGTCTCAGGTAAGCAGGAAGCGTGGCCCTCCGCGGCTGTGCGTGCGGAATTGAGCTGCTTGCTGGGTTATCGAAGACATTCACCGCCTGGTGGCTGAGAAGATCCGGTTCCCTATAGATTCCATTCACGTCACGCGATGTGGGTTCTCAAGATAGTTAGGTACTCCGCGACGAGTTCTGTTGATTCCCTAAAGGTTGTGTCTAAAGCGCACAGTGCTTAACGTTTGTTTTCAACCAGCCGTCAATGTCAAAGGCAACGCCGAGCGGTACTAGTCAAGACAGTACGGCGACGCGCTTCTTTGGATCTGGTCACGGCTACAGGGTTTGTGCCTGAGCTTTGCTGCGCGAGATTTCCTGTCAAAACGCCACGAGAAAACGCTACCCGACATACAGGTACGTCATTTCAACCAGTCAAATCTTCGGTTTTCACTAAACGAAGTATCAGCACTGGTTTTTGACGAGGTCCAAGGGGTCTGACGGGCTGTTTGCCTTGGTCGCGCAAGCATTGAAAACGAAAGAGGCCGCCGTCCTCGATCGGGCGAGAGGCAATCTAGTTCCTTGCGATCTAGTCACGAGGATGTGGGATCAAACCCGTTACAAACAGCAACTTAGATGACGAGGAAAGTGTAGATGTCCTTCATTAGAGATGTGAAATCACTCATTTTACACCGCTAGCAGCTATTGCAAGGGTGTCTTCGTGAAGAAACACATCCCAGATCGGTGATCTCATGTCTAGGAGAGCTATGCTTGATTCCACAGGTTTCGTTAGACCCGGAGATACACGTTCAAAACATCCCTCCCACTGACGCATGACATCCTTGTACGTCTATTGCAGCTGGCCTACTGCGGGGCAGCCAGGCTCATTCCATCTAGTTATGTGTCTTAAGTGCTTCTTAAAGGCGGTTGCACAGATCTGCCATTTTTCTATGAAGGAGTTGATGTCGTCCTTCTCTGGAATGTAAGGTAAGGCTGGTAGGGGCAGCCTGGCTACCTGGGCTTGGTTGTATTTAACGAGGATATTTTTTGGCTTTCTGTGAGGGCGCCTACGTTCCGCCCGCCGGGGCCCAGATGACGACCCAGACAAAAAGATGAGTATCTTGACAGGCGCACACTGAGTATGGGGAAGTCTACGTCGGTTGTCTTTGTCTGTGGGACAGATTTAGAAAAGCAGTGTGTGGGAGCAGAAGCTCTCTGTAGTTTGCCAGCACGAATGCGAAGGGGACACGGTCGTGAGCGATCGAAAGATGCATAATACCTAGGTGGATGCGGAAGGTGGCTTTAAGTTGTGACAACGAGTTGACTACTTCCTATTAAACAAAGTGCGCTGCTGATTGGCAAGGATTTGCGCACACACCTGGAACGACACCCATCCTCGTGAGATGTGCAGGGTGCGATCACATAAGGGCGTTCAAATATTAAGTTCGGGGCTATAGACAGCCGACAGCGCTTTGTTTGCAAACCTGCGGAGGATACCTGTACGACCACATGCAAAGCAATAGCCCCTTCGACGAGGACGAGTGTGCACGGCACATTGTTGCAAATGGCCTTCGCCGTAAATCACATTCATCGCAAGCATATCATCCACAGGGACATCAAACCAGAGAACATCCTCCTTGGCTTATAAATTGAGCTCAAAATTGCGGACCTTGGATGCAGTATGACTGGTACGGGCAGAAAAGCCTTCTGAGGCACGCCCGATTACTTGGCACTGGAGATAATGGCAGTCCATGTGGATAGTGGGCGCTATGACGAAAGATTCGACATCTGGAGTCTGGTATTCTCATGGACGAGCTTCTGGTCAGTGTTAGGTAGGCGCCACGACTGGACTTCGACCGCATCCGAATGGACCTAACATCATCAAGTGCCGTTCGTTTAGTCATCCCGCCGTTTCTCAGTTCGGAGGCCCAGGACTTACTTGATGGAAAAAGTATATCTGATGTTCGTCTGATTACGTTGCATTAATGCTAAGTAGTATTAGCTATTGGTGATCGAACCGACCGAGAGAATCTCAGTGCTGAAAAACAATCGCATCCTTGGATTCGAAGGCATTGCCTGAAGAACCCTCAACAGGTTGTCGGGCGGAACAACGGCGCCATGTTAGCAACTCATGTACGCGAAACCCGTCAATACTATCCGATTCACATATGATATAACGACGGACACAATGAAAATAGCACTACTGGAATGATGAGAGTAGTTTATATTTGAACGTAGATTATATGCAGAACGACGACCTACTTCCTGAGGTTTGAATAGAGCTGACGATGACGGATTTTGCCATAAAGATATTTCCGCGAAATTGAGGTCTGATTCGGTCTTTGCCAAGACGATCGCAAAGCCGAAGCTTACTACAAAGCATTTCTCGAACACTACCTGCTTGAATCAGAAAGCCGTCCTTGGATTTTAGACCACAAGAATCAGAAGTGGCTTTGACTATTAGCGCTGTGACTATGAGGAAGTATGGAACTCACTTCTCGCAGAGGTCGATCACAGAATCGTATCCAATAAGAGAAGTGAGGATCGCAAGAACAAACATCAATAGATACGTAAGAGTCCACAGCTGGAGAAAGACCCGTTAGGAATATTCCCTTACTCTCGTGTTCGCATGGTTAAGAGCTAAGCACGTGTTGGTGAACAGCCAGCTGACTTCACACAAACTAGTGGGTTCTGAACGATGTTGCCACCAGGCATGGGCTTATTTTTGAGCAACCTCTTTTTAACGGCAGCGACGACCGACGATACCTTGAGAATACTAGATACGATCTGGATAAGAGCTACGTGACACAAGCAGTGAGTGGAAGCGATCTCATAAAGGCGGCCTGGGATGCTCTGGCAGGGACAGACGAGGTCACGACCCAACTTCGTCACGCAACTCACTCGAGGGATAAGAATGCCCCAATATGGCCTACTGACCAAGACGCTGAGGCAATCGAGAGTCGTCAGGATGTTTAGGAATACCGTGCTGAATATAACACGTTAAAGGAAGAGCACGGCAGGAACAGCTCTGAGGTAAGGGTCGCGAAACGACGGTTAGATAGCAAAGCATCCGCTCTGCGCAATTTGGCGGTACCGAAGCAGCGAGAGTACTTCGCAAATGCTGGTCAACTTCGGTTGCTGGGCAATTCCACAGTTCCGCTTCGAAATACAGCCATACCAGCACGGCATTTGAGCCATTATGGTCGCAGGGTATCTGATGCTATTCGCATTGGGCAGCTGATGCGACAAGACGATTTACAAATGTGCAAATTTGAAATCGACTACTTCGAGTCCATCGTGACCTTTCTGCGGAACCGGCGCACCAGCAAAACAGCCAAAACGGACGAAGAAAACTCGACCGAAGGTGATCAGCAGATTTCCACGTGCCTCCTGTGTCAGCTGCCCTGCGACCATCGGTCGAGTCTCACAAGACACACGAACACACGTCATGACTTGAACAAGGTGTTCAAGTGCGCCGAGTGTCTGCCGCAAGAATTGAATTCCGAGGTTATCATGGGCAAGTCGCACTGTAGCAATCACGTAACCAAGCAGCATGACAAGTGGAACGCACCCAAGTGTTATATGTCGACGGCGCTACAGGATACAAGGCCGGTCAGGTGCCTGAAATGAGAGTTGCACGAAACGCAGGGACTACTCAACCAACCTTCTTCATGCCCGGAGTGCTTCATGTTAGGTGGGACCAAGATTACCATCCACGACCCGCAGGATTAGAAACAATATGCCAAGCTCTACCCCGATTCCTCAACCCCAGCTGAAAGCGTACTTGT